TCCAGCACCCCGTTTAGAACAGCTGGATACTGAAGCTATTTCTGTGAATTAATGGAGACTGGTGCTTACTGGTGTTTGCCAGAAAATATGTGGAAATATTAAGTCCCTTGGCCATCTAATTGGAAGAGAAGGAGGCCTTTCCCTTTTAAAAATGAAAACTGGAGTTGTCTGTATACCTGTGATGCTAAAAAAGACTCAGCTCCAAACTGCTCCAGCTTAGGCCTTCTTGGGACTGTATACTAAGAACCACAGGGCCAGCAGAGCCCATGAACACAATTCTGCCTTCTTCCTTTCAGTCATGATTGGATTCTTCTGTGCTGTGAACTTGGATGACTTACCCTGCATCTGCTTTCTGTTATGTTTGGAGCTGGAATAGGACTTTGAGGCTTTAACACTTGGTAGATCCCATGTTCAGCCTCTACCAGATACAGTTTAGATAACTTTGTGAAGGACTGAAACGCTGTTGGGGCCTGGATCTTTATTTATGCTCAAATACAGAAAGCAGCTTTCTTGTGAAGCTCAATTTGCATTCCTTCAATTTGAACCACATTGTGTGGATTTTATTATATAGAAAGCTTTTTCAATGAATCTTACCTATAGGCATTTTTCTGTTTTTCTCTTTAAAAAGATCTATGCTTTATTCCCGCACACTTTTTTATTGAATGCCTCTTGTGTGCCTGTTCCTACTATAGACTGTTGATGCCTTTCTGATAAGTGTGAGTCCCTTTGCAGAGCTGATGAACAGACAGTCACCCATCTGCTTCTTCTATTGCAAAGCTGTCTGCAGACACAGGGCCAGGAGCTCAAGTTGAGCACATGAACTCTCCGTGCTACGATCAAATATAATTTTATTCCATGTTCCATTAGGAACCCAAACCTAACATTAGACCCAATTCACATGCCTGCCACTACCACTCACAGCTTTTGGGAACTTGAGGACACCAAACATTTGCAATCTCCTGGATTCCTTTACCCTGGAGTAAGAAAGAGAAGTCATTTCGATGTAGACTTCCCTGATTGACAGATGAGAGTGTAAATAGCCATACCTGGTGCCATGCCTGGCAGGATTGGTAGTTAGTCAGTGGCACCTGAGTTTACATGATGAAACATAGGTTATTTTGGTAAGTTAGGGTAAAGAGAAAGAAACAACAAACACTGACAACCCTCAGGGCTGTGATTTTGCTCTAATCCAGGGCAAATCCTGGTTGCTCAACATACTGGCTTGTGGGCTTCTGGGCAAATTGCTTCACCCACTGGGTCTCAGTGATTTCTGTGTGAAAATGGAGTAATGGTTACACGTGCTGGGTTGTTGGGAGAATTAAGTAAGGCCCTATAGTGTTAGTAGTTCAGGAAATAATAGTTGGAGGTGTGGCACAGTGGTATATAGCTGTTCACATGTTCATCATTGCCATCTTCAGGCCAATGAGCGTAAGACCTTGATTTACAGATATGAGGGTACCTTTGTAGAACAGATTGGGGTTCTTTTAAGACTGTTAAGAAACAGCAATAAAGGTATTGTCTTTTTCTGGTATGCCTAGATATTCAAGGTAGAGTAATAGCAGATAAGCAGGTCAGTTGTTGATATACAGTGGAGTCCAGTGTGCTAGAAATCATCCTTAATTCTTCCTGTCTCTTAGAGCAAATCAAAATGATATCTGTTGATTTTGAAATGTGGTTTCTGTCCCTTTTAGGTAAATCCATCTAATCACAGGCTTCTATTTGAAGTATTTGATGAGAACAGATTGGTAAGTCCTTGGCTTTGAGTTTTGCTTTCTTTCTTAAAAACTGAATTTTTCAAGTAGCACCCCTGAGGTCCTCTGGGTCACTCACAGTGGTGTGTGTGCCCCCAAAGAAAACTGGTTTTGTCTCACCACTATTTAACTTCGAAATTCTGGAAAATATTTTTGTGTTGCTAGGACAAAAAATTTATTTGGGTATGTGGGTATTTTTTACAGATAATAGTAATAAAAGTTACCTACAATGGCCTCATCCCAAATACTTTATTATGCTTTGTTTAGGGAACACAGGTTCAAAGGTGCTTCTGTAAGGATGCCACCAAGCCTGTAACCAAGCCTCGTGGCCATTTAAAAATGTTCCTAAGACTTAGAATCCCACAGTGAGTTCACCAAAAACTCTATGGTGATTGTCTCTGGGGAAACAAAAATCTAATTAGCAGCATGTAGTTAAAGCACATCTCCTTAGCAGCTGAAATCAAACAGTGGTCCCTTCTCAAGAAAAAAAACATCTTAGAAAGTAACTTCATAAGACTAGATAAGGGCTGGAGGCATGGCTCAGTGGTAGAGTACTTGCCTGGCATGTGTGAAGTTCCATTCCCCATTGTGTAAAAACAACAAACCCATACATGAAATAAAACCCATCGTAAGCAAAATAAGAAATCCCAAAGACATGCTCCAAGATAGCTGATATAAGAAACATTTTATATATAGATTTATAACACGTATGTAATTGACATAGAATATACAGTACATATGTGGTGGTCAGAGGACAGCTTTGTAGGATTGGTTTTCTCCTTCCACATTTATGTAAATTCCAGGGACGCAGGTGTCTGGGTTTGCTTGTACCTCTATTGGCTGAGACATCTTGCCAGCTCAGTAAGTAGAATGTTTACATCAAATTCTCATGAGCCGAGTGTCCCAGCTTTGAAAATGAGCACTATCAAGTTATGTGTAAGCCTTGACAGCACTCTCAGAAGTGGGAATAAACTTCAGGGCACTTGACCGATTATACTCTTATTTACTGCCCTGCCTGAAAGGAATGTGCATTCATGAACTCATCTTTCTACCAAATTCAATTGACACGCCAAAAATCGTAGAATAGCTTGAGGTTGACAGGAATTATCATCAAGAGGATTCTTGAGACAAAGTTATGCACTCCCCAGTCATTAGAGATGAAACAACTCTGCTTCGGGGACTGAATGTGATTAAATGCCAGTCAGGGGACACACAAGGTCAAACACCTGGTCGTCTCAATGTCAGCCTATGCTGGGGAATAGCCAGAACCTCTACCCTTAATAAAAAATGTGTGGGTGGATGTAATCTGATGTGCTTGGCTTTAGTCTCCTGAATGGAAAACTAACAGATTGCACCTCCCAACCTAGCATCTTTTTTGGTTATAAATAGGGGATCGTGGTGGCTTTGTTGAAATGGAATCTGTCATGGGGAGGGAGGGTCGCTAGGAGCACTGAGTAACTCTCATGTGAATTGTTCAGTGTAGTCCCTGCCTCTCATCCTCTCATCTAGCAAGAGCTTGTAACTGAGCTGGTGACATTCATTGAAATAATGCAAGAAGTAAGTCTATGCAGGGACAGGGCCTCCACAGTCTGTTACTTACCTTCTGATTCAGGGAGGAAAGTCGTTTTAAAATGAGACAATGGTCCAAACTTGATGTGAAAGTACCTCTTAATGCTCTTCTACTAAGAGAAATTTACAGTTTAAAAAGTATTGGATTTCCCATTTGTGTGATCTAAAATGACGATTGCAGTTGAGTGTCCTTGCTGTGGGTAAGAACTATTTTTCCAGACTAAAAGGGGGTTTTGAATACAGAGTATTTTTTTAAAAACTATGAGCAGTCATATTTTACATGTGATGCTTAGCCTTGCCCCCAGGCTGTCTGCCGAGCCGCTACTATGCATAGAATGCCAATGGTGGGGTGGTTGCTTTTTTCTTTGTTGGCTGCTAATCCAGTGAAGACAATACGTGACTAGAGTTTACTTGGAAGTTCTGGCATTGAGCAGACTAGAGTCTGTCTAGGTCTCACAGAGGTTATTTTTTGCAACAAAACTGTGCTTTTAGGAAGCAAGTTCGTGTGTGTAAACACAGGTTTAATCCACCACAATCTCCACTCCAAAGCAGTTAACAAAGACATGCCTTGTAGATTTTAATATAAGTTTTTGTTACTCTCTGCAGCCTGGTATTTTGCCCTCCTATTTTTTTTTAAGTCCCGCCTAAATAAATCTTTTTGTTAAAGAACTGGTGTTTCTGGATCGTAGGAAACAGTATATTTAAAGTGTAGAGAATATTTTCAGGTTCATTATGAATCTCCAATGACAGGATTTGGGGCATACACTTTTAGTTCTCAGGGTTTTTCTGGCTCCTTGCAGACAGCAAGATTCGAGGTTTGTGCTGAGTTCTCCCTGGAAAACAGCTCCAGGCAATTCTTCTGTATGATATTTAAGTTAAAGGACTACAAAGCCCACATACACACTGCTCTTCAATTCTCTCTCTCTCTCTCTCTCTCTGTCTATCTGTCTCTCTCTCTGTGTGTGTGTGTGTGTCTGAGAGAGAGAGTGTGAGTGTGAGTGTGTGATGTGAGAGAGATTGTTTTCTCCAGGTGGGCTTCTTTTCTCTGTTAACTGCTGTCTGGCAATCCTGCTGTATGTGACGCACACATCCCTCTTTTAATGAAGAATGTGTTTATAGTAAGTAGCAAGAGCTGGGCCAGGGTCACAGCTGGCTGTGCAGTGTTGTGCCCCCTGTGCCTTCACTTGGCTATTTTGTTACTTGTAGATCATGGTCTAATTATTTCCCATTAAAGGGACACTAATTCCGTAGGGTGTGTAATCGTATTTATAGTACATTTTATTACTCTGCATTCCCTCGTGGTAGTGTAGTGCTATCATAACAGAAACATAACATTTGATGCTTGAGCAGGCTCGCCCTGCAGCCGAGCTGTATTTCACTTGTTCTTTGGTGCGGTGGGGAGGTGGAGGACATACCTTGGAGTGCTCGTGCTTGGTGCAGGGTCCCTGGCATCAGTAAGGGAGAGGGACCTAGTGCTCTAGGTAGTTGGGAAAGCCCTGCTTGCCCTGTGAGCATGATGGGTCAGATTTACAGCGGCATGGCTGTTGAGTGTGTTTGCTGCCTCAGTCAGCTGCCCGAGCTCCCTGCTGGGCCGCCCCTTTCTGACACAACAGCAGCAGCTGGGAAGGTGCCCTTTCAGGCTCTTGCTCTTCAGAGGGGGGGAAAACAGCAAGAGAGGGGAAACTTCACTAAGTCCAGAAGCTGGCATTGGAGGGGGAGCAGGCGGTCATGTGTCTCCGGCCATCCTACCCTCTGTCACAGAGTAGATGAGAGCTTTTTGCTCCTATCCAATCATGCCTGGAATGCTTCTTGCCACTTGGGCTATTTCTGCTATCTGTCGCTCTTGGTGCCGCAGTGCTAACGGTTTGGCAGATGGGACGCTTTTTCTTGGAGTTGGTGTCTTTGGGTTTTGACTTCTGGCATTGCTGGGCGTGTTGTCGCTCGCCCTCTCCCTCCTGGCCCCCCTGGTCACCATGGCCCATCGGCTTCGGTTTCATTTTGGCTCTGGCCGCAGCAATACGGCCCCCGAGTCTGAGATTCTAGACCAGGAGAGAGAAGAGGACTTTTTCATGGCATTCCACACGCTGCCACGGAGAAGCAGCCCGCACCCCTTCACCCAGAACACAGGGGAGGACAGTGGCCTGCAGGAGGGCGTGGGTGCTCTCAAGCGCAGCTCCTCCATGTTCATACCACAGCTCCTGGCTGGAGTGGACACCAGGCCCACCCGAAGCTCCTCGGTGCAGATCTCCCTGCAGCGCAAGGCCGCAGATGGTGCCACAGACAGCTGCGTGCCACCCGAGGGCCCTGAGGACAGGCCCCCGAGTGCCCAGGCTGACCTCGGAGACCAGGCCGCAGTCACAAGGGTCTCGGCTCAGATCAGCTCATCGGAGCCTTCTCCAGTGGACACTCCGGGAAGCTCCCCTCCAAGGGCAGCCTGGGACCCAGGGACCGTGATCAACGGTACTTGTGACCACCGTGGTCAGTGTCCCCGCCTGGCTGAGGATAAAGAGGAGGCCACCCCAGGCCTGCGCATTCAGCACAGAGCCTCCAGTGCCGATGTGCGCCAGGTGCGGCTGCTGCCCTTCGGCCCGGATGGCCAGGCAGAACCCAGACGCTGGTCCCTCCAGCATGTTCCAGACGCTTCTGGGAGTTCTGGAAAGCGCTGCTTTGTCTTTCAGCTGCAACAACCCCAGCAAGGCACTCTAGGGCTAGGAGGTGACTTCAACTTCGGCTTCACTGGCACTAAGGGGGACAGGTTGGTAAGGTATCCACGCATTCGGCTGGAGAGGAGCACATCATACCCCACCCAACCCCGAGCAGGCCGGGCTAGCCCCACCGAAGACCGAAGGACCCCAGAGGCATCGCCTCGGGCCAGTAGGATGGTTCCTGAGATCCGCAGGACAAATTCAGAGAGGTCCCCACAGAGTCCAGGATGTATGTTCAAGATCAGGCAGGATCAAAATGCAGGACAGCAGCATTTCCGAATTCTTGTGACTCGGGGACCTGAAGAAGCTCTCCAGAACCAAGAGGAGACCCCCAAGAGCCCTGGACACTCTGGAACTGGCGCTCCGGTAAGTCCGCAGGTGCACATGCTTGAGTGACCCAGAAGGGACCGGGCCAACCCAGAAAGCATGGTTATTTTACAGCGCGGTCCTCTCATGAGGGAATGTCCCTCCCTGTTGGAGTCAGTGGAACCCAGTGTTTTGTAGCGGTCCGTGGAGCTGGTTTGCCTTTCTGAAAATACCTTTTCTGTAGGTCATTGATGGGAAAAGGCTCCATCTGTTTTGGAATCCCAAGTTTAAAACACCCTTTTTAGTTTTCCTTCTGAATGAAAGAATTACAAAAAATACATTTCTGCTAAAAGTCAAGTCAGTGCCTAAATATGCTGATGTTGGAAGCGATTTGAATGAAACCTTGCTTGCAAATTTGGTCCCTGACAACTCTCAGATAAAGCCGAAAGGCTGTAGGAACAGGCATTTGAGACTCTTAATCGAAGTTGTACTTGGTTCTTCCTAATGACATCACTAGTCCTCATTATAAAATTTGCTGTTGTTGGCTTTTATGCCATTAGGCTATTCTGATCAAAAGTATTGTCACTGCGGGGAAGGTGTGTTTTGTGTGCAGGTTGGCAAAGTTAGAGAAAGTTGTGGTGAGGACTTATTTCACAGCAGTGTGACTTAGCACAGCCCACTTGAGTGGCTAAGCCAAGGATGCTGATAGGGAATAGTGCCTTGTCTCCAGCTGCAGAAACAGACTCCTAAAGAAGATTCCGGCTTCACTGCATGTGGGTTTTTGTTCATTCCCTCTCGGTGAAATGGAGTACAGAAAGACAGCTGCTGACTTCCCAGCCCGTGGTGACATGACACCTAGTGAAATTTTAATCAGTCAGGTTTCCTTGTGCTAGCTGTCACTCATTGAGTGTTTTCCCGGAGAACAACCTCCTGTTTGTAAATAACCCTCTCCCCAGAACTACATGTGCTTCATAGTTTCAGGATTGTGAGATGCCTGTGGGCCTTTTTATTGGGGTTTCAGTGTGTCTTGTCTTTTTAAAGTAGGTGGCTGAGTTGGTCTCCTAGAATACTGTGGCCCTTTATCAGTTTGTGTTTGGAAGTCTCTCTGGTGACTCAAGCAAACTTTATCGTTCCTCCATTACTGATTTTTTTTTTCCACCCTTGGGAAGGAACAAACAGATGTGAAAGGCAAATGGATTTTATTCTTATTTTCTTTACGTCCATTAAGTCTTGAACCTTTCTTGGTCTGAACCAACTTCCTCTGCTCTGATACAAGTTTTTGTGAGTTTCGATAGTGTAGTTTGTTTAACCTACCCCAAGGAATGAAACAGTTCCGAGCTTTATTAGACCATCACATATGTTCAGCCAGGTACACCCACCGATGAGGGGTGCCTTTCCTCGGGTTGAGGTGGCCACTGAAAACTGCAGTCGTTGTGATGTTCGGGTGTTGAGGGCAGATACAGTTACATGACCAAACTCTCAGTCTAGAATTTTTAATGAAATTATAAAAATAATATATCCTAAAATAATATAGATTTTAAGAAGGCTCATCTAACTTATAACAACTATGTAGAGCAGCGGTTCTCAGCTGGGACCCTTTAATACAGTTCCCTGTGTCATGGTAACCCCCAGCCATAAGGTTATTTTCATTGCTACTTCATAACTGTAAATTTGCTACTGTATGAATTGTTATGTAAATATCTGATATGCAGAATAGTCTTAGGCAACCCCCGTGAAAGGGTCATTTAACTCTCAGAGGGGTTGTGACCCTCAGGTTGAGAACTGATGATGTAGAAGAACATTCTGGAACAAAGAGCTTGCCTTGGGGACAGAGGGCTACCTAGAGAACAGTCTTTCATAGACATGTACTTTGGATATGTAAATAATAAGCACATGGTTGGCACGCCAAAGCTTTTCTTTTGAGCAAAAGACTTTTCCTTAGAAGCAAGCAGACATGGTTGTGTACTATCTGCCAATTCACCAGTTTTGTATGTGTATCATAGGGACTGAGGGTGTCAGGCTTGGCCAGCAGCTGCCTGGGCCTTGTTTATATTGAAGGAAAACATCCACTTGGGCGCTTCTACAGTCTGGCTGGCACTAGCCCCCATTGCTGTTTCCGATATCCACTTCTTTAGTCTAAGGACATTTCATCATTAGTTTCAATGAAAATTTAAGTACTATTGATTCAGTCTGGGTTGAGTGATGTAGAAAAATCTTTTGATTTGGAATTCCTTGTGCACAGTGTGCTCAGCTTGCCTGTAAACGGGCCTCCCAAACGTTATGGTGTGGCCAAATCTAAAAATGTTACCTAGTTGGATTCTTAGAGAAAAATTCTAGGGGAATTCTGTGTAAGAGTAGGCTTTCCCACGTTGGTCACCATCCACAGAGGAAATCTGCAAAGCCATCGGCTGTAGTAAGACCTCCAGGGTCTTAGAATGCACCCACTGTGTCCAAGCAGTTCTTAGATGTCTCTTAATGAGTTAGTTACTGTCTTAGATCAGGTTTTTAATCTAAGCTTCTCGACTGTATTCGAGTTATCCTGAGAAGGCTGTGCCATCTTTACTAACACACTTTATACACAGAACTGCCAAGCTCTATTTCTCAAGCCTGAACAGCCAGCTTTCCAGTACAATTGATACTATTAAGCATTCAAGGTCTTCCATGGATGTGACATAGTTACTTAGAGGGGCTGAGGATTTCTTAATTTTGCTGAGGGCCCAGAAGCAAAAGCAGGAATTCTCATACCTGCCACACATAATAGTAGAAGAGAGAGGCTTACCTTCCTCCACAGGCGCTCTGAACGTCCCCCAGAGTCTTCCCTAGCACAGTGGCCTTTTGTGAATACAGACGAACTTCAGTGGAAGGCAAAGGAATATGCAGAATAGTTTTATCTGGAGAGAATTTCAGTTTAGTGTCTCCTAGAGAAGAGGCTTTTACAGAAAAAAATATGTTAATATTAGTTTTTTATAGCTATTAAAAAAAACAGTCAGTGAAAATTTAGCCATCAGTTTATTTGAAAAAAAATAGCATTGTAATGGGTAAAGGGGAAAGTTGTATTGCTTTGATTGACTTGTTTTCGTTGTTTTGTTGGTTTTTTTTTTTTTGACAGACTTTGTAAGTTTTTGTTTTTGTTTTTCTTCCTTTCAGGTGTATTGAGGTATATTGATCTCTCTTTGTGAGGTCATACATGAGAATAACCCAGCACTATATGACTTAATTTCAACTATTTTAGCATTGTCTTAAAAGTTGTATAGGCAGCACATGGGGTGGACACTGTAGTGTTTGTCACCCGAGACAGCTGGCACTTGGAGTGACAGCTCATGGTTTGCCACTTCACGGTTGAAGAACCTTATTCTTATTCTCATCTTACTCGGGAAGTAGGATGTGTGGGGCATAGCCATCTTACTGGGCTTTGCCAACCAGCCTGTGGAGCACTGTTAAGCCACTGTAAAGGCATGAGGTAGAATCATGTGTGATGACATTACCATTACTGTATTCTATAGTAATTTATGTGTATATGATGAGAGCACACACACACACAGTACACAGCACATACTAAGCCTAAAGGTAGTTTTAAAGCTCCTTGTGATACAGCATACTTGGGTGAAAACCATGGAGCACTACTGCACTGTCCTCCTGGAGTGGGAGGCAGTTGGGGCCCTCAGCTGCAGGCACTTGTCTGGCTCTGGAGCCTGGGAGAGTTAAACCCCTTCTTCAGCATCCTCTATCATCACTGAACATACCCTACCCATCCCCCAAGCCCCTGTAAAGTGTCATTCTTGTTAGTTAAAAGCAAGGAAGGCTGTCTGTACAGGAGCTGGACTCAGGACCCAAATGGTACCTGTGAGCAGTCAGTTCCTAATGAACAGGGCAGCGTGCCTGGATGGCCAACGAGGACATGTTGACCTCTGTGTCTCATCAGATTCTTCTCTTCCATCATCAGGTCTTTCCTAAGCACTTGCACCCCAAGCGGCCCTATAATAATTCAGTTCTTAAAAAGAATTGAGTAAAGGACCTTTGATTCTATTTCATGGTTGTTTGTTTTTAATCTTGCAGACATTTTGACTGCACATTTACTTCCTTTGGCCATGTCATTTTGCTGTGATGGATTTCCAGTGGTGAAGGTCACACACACTCCACATAGGCAGAGACATCTGTGGGAAGTGTCCTGATTGTGTGACTTTAAAGTGAAGGCGCTGCTGGAGACAAACCTCAGTAGACCCTGCCTAACAGAGAATGTGCTCATGGGTGCAGCTGTTGGATAAGCCTTGAGGTCGAGTTTCCAGGTCTCTAAAGTCAACCTCTAATCTCATGATACATACTAATAAATTTAACTGTCTCTTCATAGGGCCTCATAAGGACAAAAGACATTTATTCCTTAATATTTGTCTTAAAATATTAGACCCCTTGCATGGTCCTGTTTGGTTGGCTATTTTTATGTGGCCAACACTAATCTGAGTGGGTCCTTACTACTTGTGACAATTGAAGCCACCAACTAGATTCTTTTAATGAAAATAATCCATATTCTTGCTGGAAGGGCTTTATAAAATTCTCTAACTACATAAACTCCTAGTTGTGCCACTTGAGACAGTGGCGATGATAAGGGAAGGCGAAACTCATAAATGATGCTGAAGCTGTTGGTTGAGTACACAGTGACAGGCACGAAATTTCTTTAATAAATGCCAGAAGACTGGCATCATGAGACATTAATTAGCATGTTACAATCCTTGGGTTTAATTCACACAAGAGGTGTAGAAATGTATGCCCCACCTGGAAGAAACAACCGTAGACAAGAAGCCCGCTCACTGCCTTGCATACCCCTCTTGAGGTATCAAAGGATGGAGCACTAAAGGAGAAATGGTGAAAGGTGGGCTTCCTAGTTGGTGAGATTGCTAAAAGGGTTTTACAGACGCTCCTTTCTCAGGTTCATTGTGTAATTATGTATGAGGTTGCCACATACTTGATGGCTTCACTTTGAATTTCTTGAGCCAGCTGAGCTGCAGAAGAGGTATGCTTAAGGGAGACAGGTGGCCCAGTCTGAGTGGGCCTAAAAGTAAGTC